GGCAATGCTTAAGTCTGTTAGGGTGTTTTTTCCCTTGAATTTATTGGCAGTCTCAGACACAAGCATTAAATAAAAATATCAATTATGTAACTATAAGCAAGGCATAAACCATGCTATATCCTGCTATATTTTCTAGTCTGAAGGGTAAAATAAGAGTTGTAACAGAATAATAGGAATACAGGGCTTGCAAATATTAAATTTGATAGCAGTTATACAGCTGTATACAGTTTTAACCATATCACCTCTGACACCACATGCACACAATGTTTCTTTGATATGCCACTTTGGTCTAAGACATTCAAAAGGCAGGAATATAAAACTACATCAGTCACGTAATCCATGCTTTGCCTTCAAAGAACTATTGAGGCAGGATTTTTATTTGTTATAATAAAAGTCATTCTCAGAGATTCACTGTTAACTCCATCATCATTTATGTCGAACATATTATGCTGAGGCTTTCAACAAATACTTCCAAGAAAATTATTGCTTAATCTAACCAAGGGAAACACTTTTACCTGTAGTTTTCAACTAAAATACAAAAGTCTCTTTTCTCAGTAAAGTCTGGTTTTTTTTCTGGTGGAGGAGGGAGATGTTTTCTGTCTTTTCAAAACTCGTGTAGCTGCACTTGAACATATTTCAAAGCTACCCTTAATGCCATTCCTTCCTTCAAAACTAATTGATTCACTGAATAAACATTCCCGATGCACAAACACAGTCGAGGGCTGTCTGCATGTGTCTGCAAATCAGGCACAGGAGCTAATGGCAGAGCTCCTGTTTGATCCAGTAGCCTCTGAGATAGATAGAGCTTTTTCTGTATGACTCATCACTGCTTTTATTGTAAAGAAAAAAATGTTTTGTTTCTGTTCAAATTCTGTAACACACAAACCATCATCACCATTTCAGAGTTTATAACACAGCTGTTAATAATAGATTGCCCTATTAAATAGAAAGCTAACTCCAGTATACATCCATGATGCACAAAACAAAACAAAAAGCACAACAGGAATGAATGGGCGAAGCACAATAAAATGCTATTTAAACTTTCAGGAGCAAACACAGCATCTTCTGCCAAGAAGAAATTAAGCAGTTGCTTTCTCCTGCAAGCATTACCTCAGCCACTTCTGGACAGATAGGCTTTTATCTCTATCTCCAACTTCATGAGTCACCATATAAATTGTTTGGCTGCCCTGAGCAGGTCTAAAGAAGGAGAAATATAAAGAGCTGGTGTCATCAGCACATGGTGGAAACCGCAGTCCTCAGCTCCACAGTCATCCTTCTAGGGGCATTGCATATACAGAGAGCACAGAGGTCCACTGGCAGAGCCCTGTGGGAAGTATTTGCACTTGTAGACCCTCAGGATAAGAGGGACAGAGCTCCTCAGATAGAACCTGCTAGCACTCAAGGCAGGACCAAAAGCAGACAAAGAACACGGAGACACCTGGGAATGCTGTCATGGTACCTTATTCCTCATCCTGGTCAAAAGCAGATCAATAACCAACAGTGCCCTGGGCAAAATCTAGGATTAATGTTGTACTAACTGAGTCTTATGTGTTTCAGTTATTGTACGGAAGAGATGTCCACCAGGCTACCCATCAGATACTCCAAAACCAGGCGATTTGAGAAGGTGTAAGTACTGGAACCATTGTCAGTGATCGTCCCCCTATCTCAGTCACCAGACCCTAAGACTTTCTAATGGCTTCATATCTTTCAAGAGATCTTAATCATGCAATGATTGCATTGTTTGAATCAGTTCATTCTAGTCCCAACACATCCCAATTTACATACTATTTTGCGTTTCCCAGCTCTGTCATTAATGTTTAATGCCTTAATTCAGTCATCAATCCCCACTCAGCAAAACAATTCAGCTAAGTACATATTTAAAGTTAAGCACATTCTTAAATGCTTTGCTGAAATGAAGCAGTCACACACATGCTGACATGCTTTGCTGAACTGGGTTTTCATGAGCTATGGAGTTCACTTGCCATAGGCACATAGGAGAGGAGCCTTCCTCTTCCTTATGTGCATTTATGTTAAAGTGAGTGGCTTGTGAAGGACACAGAGTTTTCTATAATGTCAAAGCATTATATTCAAGGAGAAGGTGGTTGCAGCCCTGTTTTGGTTTAGCTGCTGCTCAAGATGTCAGGACACAACCAGATATAATCTTTTGTATTTTCTGAATTCTGCCAAAGGATTTATTCTAAGTTCAAGTTTGAAAGATAGCTATGACTCTGAGGATCTCTGTTCACAGTAAACTGATCAGCTCAAGGTAATGCCTATTCAGTGGCATTATTCAGATCTCAAAGGAAGGAAAAATAAGTAAATCTTTGCACAGATGTCATTTCATCCCTGGTAGGTCAGCTAGTAGACATAAACAAAAAGCAAGCAAATAAAACCACCCCAAACCCCTCCCAGGACCCAACAAAATGTACTAATTGATTTCTAAAAGCAGGATATTTACCTTTGTCCATTGGGACTCTTACTCCAGCACTGACCAAATTCTTTTTGCATATTGGAGATTTGATAGTACGTTGCTCCAGGGCCTTGGTTTGGTAGGTGGCAAGGAGGGATTTGGGTTTTCTTTTTACTTTTTGACCTCTTTTACCCATTTCTTTCTACATGAGAATAAATGAAAGAAGTATCATAAGAGGCCTTTTTAACAACTCTAAAGGAGCATACGATTTATTAAAGTCACATACTTTCATTGCTGCTGGCAGTGGTGGAAGCAGCAGTGGATTCCCTTGCTTTCATTAATGCTTTATACATTTATACATACTTTAGCTTAAGTGCTTAAAAATCTTATAAAGCATTTATTTTAAGTATTTTAAGTATTTGAGAGATGTTAGCACTTTACTGCTGCTTTACAAGACCTCAGTCACCAGCAAGAGCTCTTACGTGCTCTGTTTACCTCACAAGGTATCCAAATCCTCTCTTGAACATGGTGGAAGAGCAACGTGGGATAGCTGGACTCAGTAACCTGAAGAGTCAATTTTGTGCAAAACACCCTAATTGCAACACTTTTGAGATGTCTGTTACCTCAACTTTGATTTAAATCTGTCCTAGTTACGGGTGAAAGTCAGAGGAAAGGCGGTTCTTTAGCACACCTTTTAGTCAGTACAACTATACTCCTAACTTTAGGTCAAAATGTTGTTCAGCCAAGTTCATGTTCATTAAATACTCTTTCATTTTACGCCAGGAGGAGATCTATGACAGCAATAAAGAGCTTTTTAACTTTCAGTTTATGCAAGGATAAAGACTTTACTACAGCTTGTCCTAGTATACACCCACCCAGTCCTATCTGACTGGATTAATTTGAAGAAGCAGTTGTCAGGTTTTCAGTCAGATTCTACTAGCAGCCTGGTATTTAAAATCAGAGCCCCCCTTCCCTCCCATCCCTTAAAAGTGTTAGATGTATTTGAAAGGATAAAGAGACATTTTCTGAAAAACCCTAATCAAACAACAGTGGTGTCGAGAGTTGAACAGCACACAGGTCCACCTGTCTTGTTATTCTGATCTGGAAACTGGGCAAGAGAAATTCTGTGACCTGCTTCAACCCATGGACGATAATTGGACAGTTTCTTTGAGCAGCATTTGCTTCTTCACATAAAAACTTTTCTGAGTCCTAGGAGTTATCTAGGGACTTTTTGATCTGCACACCCCCCCTTGCTTCAGTCCATCAGTAGAGAAGTAGTCCATTTATCATGTTTAAGTTTTAGGTAAGTTGTAGATGTAAACTTCTCTGGGCAACCTGTGCCAGCCCCTCACCACCCTCACAGTGAAGAACTTCTTCCTTGTACCTGATCTAAACCTCCCCTTTGTCAGTTTAAAGCCATTCCCCCTTGTCCTGTCGCTACATGCCCTTGTAAAAAGCCTCTCTCCAGATGCAGTGGTGAGACACTAGGAAAATCGACAGGCTGCAACAACCCTGGCAAAAACACCCAAGTCTCATGATTGCTGCAGTATCACTGCTGCTGGTTCTTACAACAGCTAGTATCAAGTAACCTGAGAAAGCTTTCACTCTCTAATATTTGCAGGAGTAGTTGCAGCGTAAGCTGAGTGTCTCACACAGAAGGTCAGTATGCTGTGGACATAGAAAATCCAGTCCAAAAACTGAGGGAAGGTTCCACAGTAGGTTAAGCACAGTTACTGATGACAGACTGTACTGGTTAGTGTGCGTACTAACCTGTGTTTTGGGCAGACAATATTTTCAAGGCTTTGGTTCAGGGGCCTGTGAGTGAACAGAACCTTCCCATGGGCTTCTCAACTCAGCACGAGGCTTTACAGATTAAAAGCAACATGTATTATACATGACATCTGTGCTCACTGCTCCTCAGAAACAAGCTACATGGAGGGACTGCAAAACCAGCATCCTCCCACCACCAATATCCCTTTCTTAGTTCTTTTCAAGCCCCCTTTAATGTTGCAGTCTATTGACACCTTGGTCATGCTGTCATAAGAGGGCAAGGAAGCCAGCCTGTGTCATAGCTGGGCTTCCAGCAGCTAATTACCATGAGGAAGCCACGGGAGTTTCTGCGAAGCTGAGCTCTGATGTAACCCAATGCCATCCACTAGGAAGCTTTTAGACGCTCCAGCCATACATAATTTATTTCCACCAGTCACATGGCCATAAAGCTCATTTTGCACAATGGGTACTTGCAATGGAAAAGTGCTTACAGGGTTTCAGCGGAGCAGACAGCCCTTTCATCTGCCTATATCAAAGAGAAATTAAACAATTATGGGAGTTCACAGCATTCTGGTAGAAAACTCTGAAAACAATGTTTTGAAGGCGTGCAAGGCCTATTAAGACAGCACTCACACACGTTTAGGCCTCTTCCCAGTGCCTCTGCACCTCCTGGTTTACGTATTAATTCATTTCCCACCTGCAGTTCCTATACAACTCATGTCTAGATGCAGAGCACCCTGGGCCTGGGCCCCAGGCAGGCGGGGCAGTGGGTGGAAGCTGGGTGGGGAATGGGCCACCTGCTGCCCCAACGGCTGGCCAGTACCCAACGGCTCTGCCCTGCCTGGCCCTGCCCAGCCACCACCAGGATGTCCCAGGGCAGCCCCACTTCCCTCCTGCATCTCTCCATCACCCGCTGGTACGTGTGGCTGCCTTCCCCCACTGGGGATGGGGCTGGTGGAACTGCTGGGGAACCATGGATGGGACAGGAAGGAGAGCACTGGGAGCTGAGGGAGAGGCTGATGTCTATCCCCCCTGTGCCTGAGGGCTTGCAGGACCTGCCCAGTGGGCTTGCTACAGGAAAGGAAGGAGTCCCACTTCTAACCCCTATCACCATGGAGGTTTACATGGGGGAAATGAGATTTTTGTCTCGGCCTACCCACTGATGGGCATTTGGCCTCTGAGCTACCATCCACCTGATGTGATGCTGCAGTGCAGCTGGCAATGGCTGCCCCTGCTGGACCACTGGTGGGACCACCCATGGCTGGACCACTGGCTGGACCACTGCTGGTCAGTGTGCTTTGACAGTGCACCACAGGTCGCTGTGATGCTGCACAGCCAGAGGTATGACAGCTTGCAGTGATGCTGTGTTTGATGTCCTCCAAGGTTATGTTTCCTTGAGGTGAAGGTAATGGTTGAACTCCTCAGCAAGTTACTTGCTGGGGTGGAGTAAGATTATCACCATCATTTTCTTGAGCTTTGAGATGTGTGTCATCTGACACGTGACAGCCGAAGGGAAACCAGGGTTCCTTTCCTTCTTTCCCCAAGCAGGGGTGAGTCCAGCTAGTAAACAGTGTCGAAGCTTTGTGTGAAACAGTAACAAAACATACATGCGGACTTTTAACTTGACAGCAAGAGCTCTATCTTTTTATTCCCCCTCTCAGTAATATCTGGGTAAGTGGGAGTTAGTTTGTGCTTTTGCTGTGATATAGGTACCACTACTCCCATTTTGAAAGGGCTAAAGGAAGAGACTCAGCTAAGGCCATCCAATAAGTTTGAGACACTGCATAAAATTGAATCATATCAATCCTTGCAAAGACGAACTGACTTTTTCTTTTTTTTTCCTTCTTTTTTAATCACAACAAGTTTCTGAATCACCTTTTCATGGTTTGAAAAATCCTAAATACTCAGTTTCATTTTAGGGTTGGGGCACTAACAGTAGCAGACCAGATTTTGGTTCAGGGATGGTTTTAACAGCAGATTTGCAAGTCTGGCTGCCAAGGGTTCTAACTCCCAAAATCTGGAGTCCATGTGAGGTCCTAGAACTGACCAGATAACAAACCTCACAGAGAGTGTGGATAGAAGGTAGTAGATAAATGGAGAAGTCTAAAGGTAGCAGATAAATGGAGGTCTTTCCCCATGTGCTTTTCTTAACCTCCATCTTCCTCCCTTACTACTCTCTCATTTTGATTCTGTTGTCTTTACTAACAGGCTTGTTTTGATGCATGCCATAAACACTCGGGTTTTGAGATCCTCAGGGCTAACAGGCAAGAAGATGAGCACTGTGCTTTTTTTCTGTGTGGATTTTTCTCCTGATGTATCATTTGTCAGCACTAAGAATGTATTATTTGAAAAAAGATGTCAGTTCAATAGGCAATATATCAATAAAATGAAATTCCCAAATATTTTGTCACTAAATAGTTAAGTGCTGAGGTTAAATTATTGGCAGAAAGCAGCTACTGAAGCACGAATTAATTTCTTCTGCACTTCCAATGACTCTTGTGGTATTATATTAAGGATGAATTTGGACTTAGATTTAATCTCCTCTGGGGCTGCTCAATTACGGAGGGTTTTGAGATGGTTGCTGCAGAAGAAAGAAGCATTTCTGCCTGCTAAGAGGCAGAGCTTAGTCAGGACTGTTATCTAGAATAAATTTAATTCACACTCCAGCCCCATGATGGGAAATGTCCCATTAGGGCAGCAGATCCCCTCTCCTTAGTGCAGGTTCTTGCTCATGCCTACCTGTGAATCCTTTGCTGATGGCTGGTGGTGGTGAGGAGCTGACAGGAGCCCAGCCCAGCTCAGATCAGCCCCAGCACTGGGCAGCACCAGCTTCTTGGGCTGGTGGGTGAGAAGATGGGCTCCAAGGAGGTAAAAGTGAAACATCTGCGCCCTTTTGGTGGGGGGAGGCAGTCAGCCTTCCTCCCTGGAGAAGGGGAAGGAGGAGTGAATAAAAGGTGAGCTAGACATCATCAGGCTGCACAGTGACGGCCTTCTTTTTCAGTCTGTTCTAGCAAGCCAGTTTGCTGGAGACCTTATCCACTATCTGCTGCCAATACAGCTAATACAGAGAGATAAACACTGGGTCACCTGAAATCAGGCTACTAATAAAAGAGAGGATGCTGATTTAAAATCGAGCTGGCTTATCTCACCTGGTGATTATGAAAAGTCTGCTTTCCCAACTGATTTGATTATCAGTAAAGACACAGTGAGTAACTGGCACTGTGCTGCACTAGAATTCAGCTGATAATTTAATTAAATAGGCATAAATCATTTGGTATAACGGAAGCAGAGTCAGAATAAGAAAACACTGTCAGACAATCAGCATGTCAAGCTTTGGAAATTAATCTCTCTGCGTCTTTGCTCCAGCTTTGCTCAGGTATTTGTACTGCAGAAGGCTATTATCTTCTGACATCAAAACCATTGGCATTATCTCATAATTAAAGGTGTTGTTTTTTTTTTTCCTGGTAAAGGTATTAACTCAGGCTAATAAGTCATTAAGTTTACATCTTCCTCACCTTATTCACATAAGTAGTTGCATTTACTTGACTATGGCCATTCCAGTAAGTAGCGTGAGTAAGGGATTTGGCCATAGGAAGAGTATTTAAGCACCTAAACCAGTTTCAGTCCTGGCAGTTCTGTTACATAGTAACTAAAATTAAATTTCTGCTCTCTTATTAAACTTGTGCTAAAAGCAGTCAGGCTGTATGAGAACAGAATTTGGTCCTGCATGGTTTGTGCACTCTCAATCCCAAAACACCATATTGCACATTTTAGATGGAAAAATGCTAATATTATTAGCTATGGTATAGTAGAGACCTTTCTGATTAGAAAATCAGAGTTACATCCTTTGATATAACAACAGTTATCATATGACAGATGCCAATACTTTCTGTTTTGGTGTTAATGTTATAATGATATTTGCTAAATTGGGATTTTTTATTAAATAATATGAGAGATAGTTACTTCCTTAGCAGAGCATCACATGATCTCTCTTACACTTTGGAAACAAGAAAAGTAGAAATTTATAAGTAAAAAAAATGCCCCTTATAATTATATATGAATACATATTAATATGTGATTAATTTAATATATACTTTAATATGTGATTTTAATATGAGCTACTAAAATCACAAGCTAACAATTCTTTCTTCTGACATAAACCAATTGCTGTTTTTATTTTAAAGGATAGCTGATAACTTCTATTCGTGTGAAGGAAGCACCATACCCCGTTGGCTACTATATGAATTGTATATGGAAAGCTGCAGTCCGTATTTCAAGTGTCCAGTAAATTCAGCCACCTTTGGAAAGGTACAGAGTAGATAAGATAGATAAGATAAGAAGCAGAGATACCTAAACATGAAATCTGATGATTAAATATACACACTAGATATCGAAACATATTAAGTAACACAGAAGAATTAAGTATTACGTTTGTGTCTTTTCTAATGTATTTCTGGTAAGCCCTCATGTAGATGCAGTTATACTAAAGAGCATTACCTATGATGGAGCTTGTTTTCTTCAAGGGACTGGTGTATGTTACACTAGCAAAACTTTCTTTTGCCAATATATTTTAGCAAGCTTTACCAGGGTAAACAGTGCAAAGGTAATAAATTCATGCTTAGGAACTGAATCTCCTGTCCTTAAAAGACCCCTTTAGTTGTTACATAACTTCATACTTTCCATTTTAAGTGTACTTGGGAGAGGTTTTGCTCAAACACACCCTAAAAAAGTTGTTATAGAATCATCTAAGCAAAGCAAATGCAGATGTAAAACCCAATCTCCTTTAAACAGTTCCACCCTTCTAATACATGGAGGTTGATACAACCTACAGGGCAGTTACTACTTAGAAATCCCAATTGCAATGAGCACTCATAGCTATTCAACTTTATTTAACAAATTAAGGAAGACAGAATGCCTTGTGATTGTTTGTTGCTCAAGTCTTTTTGTTCAGAATTTCCTATTTTTACCACTATTAGTGCTCAATAGCATATAAATAATAGTTCTAAGGATTGTTTTAATACAAACCCAAAATAATTTAAGTAAAACTTGAACCTGAAATTGATTTCATTTTTGTGGATAACCTCATTTTAGGAATCATTTCTCTCAGTTCAGTTGAATCTAATTTTTAACTTAAGGTAAGTTTAATCACTCTTACTTAAAATTAAGATTTGAATGAATGATCTAGTGTGATTGAATACTGTAGCTTAATGGATCATCACCCACAAGCCAAGCCTATGAGTAGAATTTGCCTGGCTCATTGTAGATATCTGCCATGAAGCTAGTTACCTTAAAATCTCTTGGTAGCCAGTGGAGAGAAATAAGTAGTTACATAAGATCCCTCTCACCCTAAATCAGGCAGCTCAGGCAGCTCAGATGATGGACTCGATGATCTTAAAGGTCTTTTGCAATGTAAATGATTCTGTGAGTCTAAATGCGCCTCAAACTGCCTGTTTTTCTCCATTGACTATGAAGCCTGCAGTGACTAGCTTAGATATCTCTACCTCGTAGCCATGTAGGTAAGATTAATCCCATCCTGTCTGTACACTTTCAGGTGCTCCAGCATGATTGAGTTACCACCTATAAACTAAGCCCTCTTGCGGTTTAAGTTAATGCATTTTACTTCAAAGTTGTGACAGGCATGGATGAAGCATGAGTCTGGTCACGCAGGAGAGCTTAGTTGATGAGCCATAGCTGATATAGGTTGGTGCTTGCAACTGTTTGCTCACAGGTTTAACTGACCCAGTGCATTGCGGTAAGTTAACACATTCCAAGCAAGCAAGCTGGGGGGTAGCTCCCCAGTGGCTTGGAATGGTTTGTCCTTCCACAGCAGGAGGTGGGACTGTGCAGCAAGAGGCTGAGGAGGGCTGGAACTGCAGCAACCCTGGTTTAAATATACACATGTAATCAGTTACCACAGCCTGGCTAATGGTCTGAGCTATTAATAATTCATCCAGCTGTAGAAACATGACTGCATTACATGCGTGTGGACTGTAAGGACTTTTGCAGTCAAGTACCATGTGAATCAAAGCATGGGGATTTAAGATGCAAGTAATCTCATCCTAACTATCCCTCTGTCCAAATGCATCACTGTCTCTGTAGAAGAGGCAGTGGGAAGAAATGTGTGTCTCATATCACAGGAGCCCCGGTTTCATAGGCTGCCCTTTCAGGAAAACAGGATTATGCTAAAATAGCAGCTTGAGAAAGGGAGTAGCTGGGGCAGAGTGCACGCAGAAATGTGCAGAGGACAGGACCACTCCAACACTGTTAAAACTGGAGGTCCATGTTAGTGTGAGTTAGGGAAATGTGTCCTTTAGCAGGCCTTTGGACCAGCACAATGCATTTTGCACAGAGTACAAGCTTTGTGCTGCTGAGTGGAAGCTATCCTCACTCCTTGCTAGCATGGATTACTCAATCCACTGTCCCTGCTATATTGGGAATGTGAGCTCCAGCTGCACTGTGTTAGTCTTTGTCTTCACAGGACAGTTCATGCAGAATAATCATAGTGAAGTGGATTATTACCCTAACAGTATCTTATTACTTTGTAGGACCTAACCTTGACAGATGCTGCTTGACCTCAGTTCACATTTACCACCACGGTGGTCAAAAGGTTGCTTTGCAGCTTGATGATTCAGGTCCTTTAAAAATAGATAAGTCAGGCCCCATCCTGCAAATACTCCTTGCAAGAGTGAGTGAGTAAGTGTCTGAGTCCCTTGTGTGAGTAAGTCCTACTCAAATGAGTAAGGGTTGCAAAGTATTGGAGAATCACGGCACCTTCAAGTTCCCTTAACTGATACATCCTATCTCACTGCGGGTGGTCTCCTGGTGTGTGCACTGACTGTGTTTTAGTGCAAGGTAAATGGGACTAGTCTAAAAAAATTCCTACCTGAGGGAGGTAATCCCTTAAATTACTTAGCTTTCAATCCACAAAAACCTGATTGAGTTCAGTTCCACAGTTACCATTTGAGAGGTATGCAAGAACGGGTATCGGCCTGCAAATGATGGAAAGCAAAAGAAGTGATTAAGGAGAAAAAAACATGTAGCAGATATGTTTTTGCAGTTTAGAATGAATTTACCAAGTCACCTCTAATTTTCTCTTTGGTTCTTTCAGCTTATTCGGTTAGTTTTCCCAGGGCTGCGGACAAGAAGGTTGGGCACAAGAGGGAGTGTCAGGTATTGCTTTTGTATCCTTTGTTTAAGAATGTTATTCATAACTGTTCTAATAAAACCTAAAAATAGCTGAATTTTCACTAATACAGCAGCTGAATTGCTGATTGCAAGTCTGTAATATATTGCAGGACCCAGAGTGATTCCTGATGTCACCATGTACATTAAAATAGTTAAATTAGACGAAAACCACCACTTTGGGGCTGCCGTGGTGGGGTATGGATTCCAAATCAGACTGGTTTTTAAAATACTAGTGTTCCAATTTGTACTGGCTATTGCAGCATGGCTTGCGTGAGGCATCTGCGAGACATCACAACCTGACTCAGTGCTCTTGAGACACTGGGTCGAGAAAGCCTGGCTCTGGGATGCACGGGGGTGGCAGCCATGATTAATGTCTGTGTTGTGCTTTTCATCCTCGCACATATCTGTGGAATGACCCAGTGTGAGCTGGTGGTCAGAGGACATGTTGTAAACAGTTTCAAAATGTTTAAATCAGACCACCTCAGATCTTCCTCCTACATGCCCTTTCTCTTCCCTCTTCTTCGAGAGCGCAGAGAGTTCTATAGTCTTTTGTTGGTTCAATGTCCAAGTTCACAATCACACTCTGAACATCCAGAGACGAAAAAGGGATACTCACAGGGCATTGAGATACAGTAGTTTTACAAGTATTTTGAATAGCTGTCAAGCACTGGCTTTGAGAATGACATGCCCTTACTTGATCTGTGACTTTTCTCCACTAGTCTGAACTTGCTATCAGCTTGATCCAGCGAGATCCTTTATTTTGGGAGTGCCTCACCGCAGACACTCCCAGGCTTCTCCCTGTAGTTGGCAGGATTTGGGAGGGTGCGTGATAGCCCCCAGCCTCCATGCTGGCTCTTCCCATCAGCAGAAGGTTACCCTCTGCTGGCTGCTACTGTTCCAAAAAGCACTGCGCTGCTCTCCTGCCTTCCCAGTGACCCAGCCTGGGAAGAGCCAGCTGGCAGCAGCACTTCAGTAGCAGGGGTGGTGATAAGGCTGCTTACTGAGTTTGGGATAAAGCTTAGAGAAGGTCTGGTGAGTTCCTTGGGTTTTAGTGTGCCATGACCACTGATGGCCACCCAGTCCCTAAGGTACCATGAATGGCTGCGGAACAACTGCACTAAATCCTTCAACTTCCATGGGGATACAGGGACCTCTGTTAGCTGAGGCTCTGGTTCCTGACTTCACTACTTCTCTTGTACAAACCTGCTGCACCCTATTCATTGGCCTAAGTTTTTTGTTTAGAAAAAGTTATAATTCCAGGGAAAATCCTATTAAAAAGAGTTTGTACAGAGTTTGTGCAATTACCTTCTGCTGGACAAAATCATTTTTCAACACAATTTAAAAAACAAATGTGGGGTTTTTTACTTGGCCTTTTCCTGTTTAAATAGAAAACTCATTTGCTTTCAAAGGAGGAGTACAAATTATTTGCTGACTTGTTGAAAATCATATAGTTGCCAGTTCTTTTTTTTTTTCTCCCAGGTATCATTATGAAGGAATAGCTATCAGGAAGGACTCCTCCTTCTATGCGAGTTATTGTAGTCTTCTGTCTGAAAAAAATCATCACAGGTTTGCTTTTTAAAATGTTTGAACATAAAATGTCACACGACAGTCTATATATTGTCTGTATATAAAGGTCTCTAACTCACCTCTCGTAAAGGAGCAACAGTGAGAAAATCTGTGAGGTGGGGTATAAATTGATTGCAAAAATCAGAAGTCTAAAAGTAACTGATGAATGTAAGATGCTTTGGGGGACTAAAGTGTAGACGTGAGCATGGTCCAGTTGTGGGCAGGTAACGAGCAGTTCTCATAGTTAAGGTCATGGTTGAGATAAGGAAACCACAGGCTTGTGTTTCTCCACAGAAAAATGGACAGGAAATGCTGACATTCTGTAAAGCTTTACACTCCTCTGAAGTGCACAGGAGAATTAAAATAGGTGCAGCCTATGCCTTGAACTTTGGAGACTGGGCTCATATCCTTACTCTCTTACAGACTTGCACATTAATATGTATATGGATAAATTATGTGCTTTGCTTTCCATTCTATAATATGGAGATATAGCACTTTTCTATAACATGAATTTTAGAGGGATACAAGTCAGCCTACTAAGCACCCAAACATTCTAGTGATGATGAACTCATTTCAGTGCCTGTGATATATTATAGTCAGTTAATTGAATGGGTGCTCTACAAGAGGATGGAAAAATTATACCAATAGGTTTATTGCCTTTCTCCATGGGTTTTACAGCAGATTAATGTTGCAGAAGCCCATAGAGTGACAATGGTAAAGAACAGGACAGGCAGAGGATCAGGTTCTGCAGATGATCAAGTGGCAGTCAGTTCTTGTGAGACCAAACAAATTATTCATAGGCAACTCAAGGCTTGTTTCCCATAAGACCTTTACTGAAGTGATATCCCTTGCAGCCCATGCACCCAGTAGAACCAGGACAGGACTAAGATTTGACATCCGTAATGAAGAAAGTTCTTGGCCGCTCTTCTAAGAATATTGCAGATCCTTGCTGTGTCTCTGCTGATCTTTCCTCTTCAGAGAAAGAAAGGTGTTTTCCTGCAGCATCACTTGGAAACAGCAATCTCGCTTGTGCACAGCAGGAAAGCTGCTAGTTCTGGTCATAGAAGAGATGAGAACAATTTCAAATTTTATTTTTCCTCCCAGCATAGAAACATGAGGAAAAATTACAGAATTAGGAGGAACCAAACAAGTGATGTTGGCTAAATCCAGGCCATGTGGAGAAACAAGGACTTTACCCACTGCTGGGTGTCAGAAGCACAGCCATATGGAGTCAGCCAGCATAGCTCGTGTCCTTAGCATTCCTCGTGGAATGGAGCCATGCTCTCTCATGGACAGGGAAACATCTTATGGTCCATGGTTAACTGTAGGGGAGCCACTGCTCGGGCTGCAGACCTCTCTCCTTCTCCACCAGCTGCCAGAGGTGACTGCCCAGACACCTACTCCTAAATAGCTAGATTTCATTTGGTCAAAACACAGAAAAGGAGGTGTATTCCAGGGTAAGGGCTAACATTTATACAGCATCTAGTGAGCTTGATAAAGTTTCTTAGGATAACTTTTCTGGTTAAATGTAGATATATATATATGTATATATATATCATATTCAGACAAACATAATTTTTCTAGTTGCATTAGAAAAGTCTCTGAACTACAAAATTATCTTGTCTGATGCTTCCTTCATTTAAGACAGTTATAAAAAGTCACTAAGCTGTTGTGTGAAGCTAGACAGCTGAAATTAGAATAGCTTCCACTCCAACTGCAGATACACTTCCCTGTCCAAGGCAATCTGCAGGTTTGCAACACTTGGGCAGCTGGGAGTCACAATAACTTCTTAGTGTCTGATAAAGAACAGTGGAGAAAAAACAGAGGAGTAAGCAAGCACAAAACAAGCCAGAGAAGCATGAGTAGCACAACCATGAAAGAAACAATAAGGTCACATACAAAATAAGCAGCTTTAACCAAGTAAGGGAGTTTGTTTCCATCTGCATTGAGATTTGCATATTCTTTGCAAATGAATAGGAACGCATCACAGAAATCATCTTTACTGTCTCGGTAGGTTTCAGTACTTTCTGAAATCAGAATTAATTTTTCAGGAACCAATGAAGGAAATTGAACCAGCAATGGCAAAGGTTATTTTTTTTTTTTAATTAGAAAATGGAAATTTAGAAGAAGAGTAATGAAAACTTGAAGACTTTTCTACCTGCAAGAATAAATGATCTCACAGAGATAACTGTAATTGCAGCGGGGTATTTGATTCCCAGCATCTCAATTTTTGAGAGTGTGTTGGTGTGGAAATTTCCAAGTTATAGTGAAGAAAATTTTGAATAGATCATTTCAGTGAAGTGCAAATGCTGGTCTCTAATTACTGAGAGGAATATTTCTCGACCATATTGAGATAGCTGGCAATCAACATGGTGCTGGTAGGGAGGAACTAAGCCCATGTAGGATCTGGCAGGTTGGGAGCTGTGCTTGTTGGTGTCATAGAAATGGCAGTAAGATTATAATGGTTTGCCTTTGACTACAAAGAAGGCATTTGCTTTCTGATAGTCAGCAGGGCCTCGAATGTGTTGTGTTGGCTAAGGATGACAGTGCTCCTATACAGCCCTTGTGAGTTTATTCATTTAGAAATCTTGGATTCGTTGAAGATAGCTGTACCACAGCTCTGATGATGATGTTATGAAAGTAGTGTAAATAAACACAGCTGTGATCAGTGAGGTCTACAGATGTATTACAGAGATTTAAGGGAATATGGTGTTTACTGATTTGTGCTACAATAGGGTGCCCTCTAAAGAGAGAGGGAATGGGAGCTTTGAGGACAACCTCTCCCTAAAATCGTACGTGCTCTGGATCAGAGTACAGCCATGTTAAAAAAATGTCAGGTTTTGGTTTCTTAAGAGTTACTTAATGATTCTGGTCATAGGCAAGGCTTGGGCTTCTGACTTCCTCTTAAAGCAAACCCATGATTTTTTAATAAAGAAAATCTGATATGATTCTAGCAAATTAGTTTTTCTAATCTCAGTGTAATCTGACAGTCAACAGCATGTACATTTACCACCCTCCCTCCTTTCATTTTCCCTTTAATTCGCCTCCTCTGTTAGTCTTTTTGTCATCCCCACCATTGTATTTCCCATTTTAGCTCCAGTTCCCACCCCATAGCATCATCCAAACTCTGCAAGACATACAGTGAAACTCCTTGTGGTTTTGCTGTCACACATTTTCCGCTCTCCCACCCACCTCCTCTTTTGGGTGTCCTCTCTTTACCCAGGTACCAGTCTCCATGCAAAGCAAGCAGCTCTGCCTGGCAGCCAAGCACCTCTGCAGGCACCAGGTGAGTCTGAACCCCCTTTTCTAACAGTGGGTGTACATAGATGTTAGCTTTCTGTTGGTATTTGCACTTAATAATCAGCGAGCTCCCAGCTAGCTGCTGGGGCACAGGAGCACCCATGCAGCTCCCCTTCTCCCAGTTCACTATCCCCATGGTGGGGCTAGAGGCGAGCCAGCCTGCCATGGGAGCCAGCCCATCAGAGGAGAGTGATGCTGGTACGTGTTGCCATAGTAGCAGCAGCAGAAGATACAGCTGGCCGCCTTCTCAGGGAAAGCAGGAGCTGGAAAATAGTCATTAATTTTTTTTTCACAGGCTTTAGGAATCTGCAGGAAGGACCCTTTGGAAAGAAGCACTATGAAACATCTCTACTTACACATCCTTCCCTTTGTCCAGACACCAGCACAAAAACGTTTGGGAGAAAGAGTCAATAGCTTTACCAAACATACCCAACATCAATGTTATGCCCTGTCTTGGGCAGCCAGTTTGGTTGCTTCCTTGCAGCACCGCCTTCAAGGCAGAGAGCAGTTGCAGAGGGAAAGGTAATTTTTTAGGTGCCAAGGGTCAGTCCTGTGGGCAGCAGAGGAGCAAAAGGAGGCGTTTTCAGGTTCCAAGCAGATAAGCTGTTACATTTTCTCCTCTGTCCCTCAGGACATGTGGTAGTACCCTGGTTTATAGCACATCACAGCAGCGAAACCCAGCAGCCAGGATCTGATTAGATAGCCTGAGTGCTGGCAGCCACCAGTGGAAGCACATTTTCTACAAAGCCCCTGCCTGTCACCCTTCAAATAGCTGAATCCAGAAGGACCTTGGCATTTGAAATGCCTTCACAGACAGTGAGCAGGTGTCCGCAGCAGATGGGGGCTTGACTGGAGGAATCCAACTCTCACAGCTCATCCCTTTTACTAGCAACATTGCCTCTCCCTCCTGTAGGATTAGCTTCAGCAAAACAGGCAGGGGGGGAAAGTAGGAGATGGTAAAGCAAGACAGCAGCCTATTGTGCCTGCATCCCTGGCTTTTCAGCCAAAAGTCAATGGTCAAGCCTTTGCAGGTCCAAGTGATTTCTGACCATGCAAAGTAAATGGAAGAAAGTCAGAAACATAATGTCATCTAAACTGATATAGGGGGCAGAAAATGTAATTACTGTGAAATCAAAGCACACAGGTGATTATGTTTTCACTATTTGCATGTTTATGAATATTATTATAATTCCAAATTAACTGCAACTACAAACAAAGCCCCACAGTTTTGGTTCAAGAGATTGGAAGACATTGCACTGTTGAATGGCTAATACCTTGCTGTCTTTGTAATGAATGGTTCAGTTTCATATTAAAATGAAGAAGTCAGTTTTCAGACTTATTAGAAAACCACACAGCTGCTGATTGACAGGAAGGAGAACAGGGTTTGTTTCCCAAACAATGCTCCAACCTAGTGCACTCTATCCAGTTTGAGCTCATTTTCTTACTAAATATGGAATAAATTAGTGAGCTTTTTAAAAGTTTTCAGGGTTTTGTTTTGTTTTGTTTTTTTTATATATTTTATCACAGTGGAGACACCTGGAGTTATGGACATGAACCTGGTTACATGAGCCAAAGAGCAAGAACGGTGAGTGTCAGATACATCAGACTTAAAGCAAAATGTCTAGCTGTGTGCTTAATTACGACTTCTATATAACAAGTTCTGATGAAATGAACTGTTAACCCATCTTCTTCAAAATAATCTTTGATAATCTCACTAAATGCTTACTTCCCCTTCCTGTTTCACCTGGTAGCAAAATATTTTTGCTGCCTTAATGTCAACTCAAATGATTTCATCTGTGCTGAGAGTGGAAATCGTGGCTGACAGCCCAGGTTTTGAATATTAGGGGAGTTAGTGGAACACAGCCTTCCTTGTCTGAGGCCCATGGCGACAGACCCTCATGCTGCTGAGGAAGTGTCTTTTCAATATGCTCTAGACCTTATTGGCACCATAAGTATTTAAATACTGGGAAGTGATTAAGAGAGAGCAAACCCTGCTCACTGAAAGGGCAGATGCGAGGCTAGCTGGTGGCAGGTCTCCCATAAGCGTGCTGTCATGGGATGGCTTGACACCAAGGTTCTTGGGAGTCATCCAGCAGAGCACAAGCAACAGAGTTATGTGCACCAAAGTGAAGAAAAAAGGAGAGACTGGATGCCTGTCTTTTTTTTATGGAGCACCCGGATGCAGTAATGAATGCTCTAAAGTGGATGTAATGACAGCTGATGAAAATGTGCTGTCACCCTGACAGCAGAGCCAACTACCTACAGCCTTGTTTAGAAGGTTACAACTGTGACCTGAGTGCTATAGAACACATAAGTGGAAGATACGTATAGCATTAAATATTCACTGGTTTTGAAAAGAAATTCACGTACTGCTTAGGATTTAAATATTTGGTCAGCCATGCTTGTTTCTTTCAATCACCCTTACTTTCTGAAAAAAAAAAAAAAGACAAGTATTTCTCTGAAGAAATACATCTTAAAAAATTATGTTATACAATTTCAATAAAGTACTTCATACTTTTAACAGAACTGACAAGATGATTGTGATCTTTTTATTATTATTATTATTGTTCAAAATAAATTCTGATGCATTGAGAGCAAGAATTTTCACTGTTCTCCATCTGTCATTTATCTTAAGACTGAACAAGAGAGATTTCAGTACCTTTGGCCTGAATCCAGCAGATTTTGTCTTTGGGAGCAACAAGAGGTAGTGAAGAAATACCCCTATGAAATGGTATGTTCTTGTTTTCGGTGATCAAGAGAGCCAGCCCTTTGCCTGTGAAATCTTTTTGTACCCTTTTTTTGGTCATAGGTTGTACCGCTTGCCAATGAGTACTACAGCCATTGTCAAATCATTTTACATATGGTGAGAACGGGGGAACTTGACAAGGTATGCCTTTGCTTTAATAACACTCTGATGACAGCAAACCACTGTAAGGGTAAAATTATTTCTGTGTAGCTTATTTACTCTATGGTTTGATCCAAACTCAAATAGAGACCAAATCTCTATGGTTTGATCCAATTGTAGATTAAAATTTATAGACAAAAGGAGCATTCAGTTAAACTATTTGGGAACCCTGAGCACTCCTGGCACATCAACAGGTCTGAGCCCAGCACAAAACATAAGGCCATGAACACATATCTTTCATTATATCCACATATGCATGGCACAATTCTTTGCTTCTCTCCTCTTTCTTCCTCTTCCTTGTGAGGTTCAGCCCCAGGATGCTTCCACTTATGCTAGATCCCAGCCAGGATGGGGCCAGGCAAAGAGCCCAGTTCCCCAGCCATTCTTTTGCTCCTGTGCTTCTGTGTGTTTGCTTTATTGAATTACAGTTCTCGTTTCACAAGTGCAAAATGAGTGAAAATCCATAAAGGACTTTGTGTGACAGGTGGAAGGCTGTATCATGTCATTCTGGAAGTCTCTGCCACCTGAGAAGATAGCACTGATGTCCTTGCCAGATGTATGCCAACTCCTGGAAAGCTATGACAGGCATCTATTCAAGGTACTGTGGACACACTTGCATGTTGTGATTATGTTATTATGTGTTTCTGTCTTTTTGGCATTTTTACCCTATGAAAAGGTACAGCTGTTTCTTTTGTGCTGTACAATGGGATTTTCACTTGTACCTCAAGTCTTGTTCTGGCTTCTTCTGAGACAGCACAGTTTAGATTTTGAAAGGAAGCAGTGGAATTTGCAATTACTGCCATTTTGCTGCTATATGTTCCTTTGAAAGGCCATAATACCAATGGAGTATGCTGCTATAAATGTGGTCGGTGGTTCTGGCCTGAGGTTATATGACTGAAATTTCAACTGATAACTGTTTTCCAAATTATGAGAGGTGTTTTTCTTTTGAGAACACTGCTTATTTTGATGACATTCCACATAGAAATATGCAGTATTCTGATCAAAATAATTTGCTGCTTATTAAGTAGTGTCTAGTAATTAATTTAGGAAACAATATTTATTGTTAGGATCATTTTCTTTATGCTAATAAATGTAGCTTAGCTATTGCTTAATTGGAAAAAAAGAGGGGGGCTTCTTTACATTAACATTTAAACGATCAACACAATTTTGTTTCATGCTGCTGTAAACATCTGTAGCACACCAGTCATATGCAGATCCATCAATGTGTATTCTAGGAAATGGAGAACATCCTACTTCATGATTTTCTGGAGGAGGTGCCTCTGCAACACATTAAGTCAGTCATATTGTTCAGTAAAAATGTTGAACTTTGGATGGTTAATGCTTTGGAATACTTTCCATTACAGCTCCAAACATCGAAATCTAAAGGTATGTTTGAGGAATAGAGATTTTCATAAAATAATCTTTGCTTAAACTGCAGAGAAGACTGTGTTATGACACTCAGAGAAATTATTTGTAAGATCTTTTTAGCTGAGGTAACTTCCGTATTAGTGAGGACTACAATTAGTTGGAATACAGTTAAAAACAAATAGTCTCAGATAATGTGTGAGAACAAATTTAAGCCAAAATTATTCCCAATTAATGGTAAATTGGAATGTGCCTGAATCTTTCCAAAGATCTGTCTCTCAGATGTGTAGAAAACTGAATAATATGCAATCTGCCCTCTGAAATTTGGGACTTGTTCTGCCTCTTCACTTCATAAGTGTTTTATGCAAATGAATTAATGAATGGCTATAGCAAAGTTCAATATAGAGGGAAAAAGCCCCATAGTCCCATAAGGAAACCATGACTGTCATTAAAGAAGGATTTGAAAAAGTCTGTACTATATAAAGTTGTGTCTATATGTGTGTGTTTGTAAATATGTATTTACATATATACACATATTTATATATGATGCTGAAGATTCTGACTAAAATGAAATGTTGCTCAGTTGTTCAGTGGGTGAACACCAACTCCTCAGTGGCAAAGCAGGGCTCCTGTGTAGACAAAAGATTGCATTAGCATTCATACGCTCAAGGAGGACTTGCAGACATTCTTAATTCTGGCATTTCTTACATTTGAGTGCTTGACAGAGCAAACTTAGTAATGTGTTTTTAAAATGTGTGTACATGGAAGTATATGCAATTAATCAGCTGCAACCCTTTGTATATACATTCTGGCCTTTCTAGTTTTTACAAACTTCAGAAAACAGACATTTTCACCTGAAGCCCATTGCCTGTCTACAGAAGTTTGCAAATTGCTTTATACTCAGTTTTCCTGTAATTACCAGTGACTTTATATTTTATTCTTAAAAAGGGATATTCTTGGGTGATGCTTGTCATACTTACAACACAATATAAACAGAAGAAAAATAGAACCGAAGAAACCAACTAATATGAACAGTGATGCAGAATTATAGCTGCAAAGGTGCAAATGAAAACCCTCCAAACAAAATATAGGAGGTGTAGAATGAATGTTGCTTTGCTTTTATTCACCTTAAACCATGCATGTAAAAGAGTACCAGTCTTGATTAAGAAGTATTTAATGTAGAAACATATTGCAAGCATTTTTACTGTGTGTCAGGGGTTAACAGATTTGCAGTGAAGGAAGAGTGCTGACCTGGGCAGCTTCCACTGGCAAGCTTTAAACTGTGAGGGTCCCCAGCCCAGCCCATAATGCTGGCTGTGTGCCCCCGCTGTGCCCTCCCTTAGCCTCCGTAGCTCCCCCTGGGATCTATTTTCTAGCTTAAAAAACCCTGTCTTTGTTAATGTCGTTTAGACTGTAAAATATCAGTTACATGAAACATCTGCCTCTTCTTCTTTAACAGAAGTTACAGTGTTTATGAAAAGACTCAGGAGAAAGACAGACCTTGCTAACATGGTTAAGGTATGTTCCGGAATCTGTGGAATAAAAAACCTGGGCATCTCATTCACTCAAGCTGTTTGGACTATTTATGAGATGTTCCCTTGCTCCAGAGCAAGTGACACCTCAGTCATCATCCGTTGTATTCTCCTGGCTTCCAGCAATCTGAGATGAAGGCTATATCAACATTTTGGTACTCAATAGCTTGATTTTGGCATCCCCAACATCTTGGGGTAGTGAGTTCCGGGGTTTGATTATTTGTTGCATAACTTTCTTCTATTACTTTAAAATTTCTGCTTTTCTTCATGCAATTCTCTCTGCAAACCTCCATCACATCCTTCCTCAGTTATTTCTAGCCAAAGCTGAGGTTTATCTCATCTTCTTGCGTAGGAGTCATTTGATATTTCTAATCAACCTTTCAGTTTTCTCTGTCTAAAACACACCTGGAATTTCAACTGCAGACTGATGGTCAAAGCAGGTGAGAGTGCTCCTAAGGAGAAGTACTACAGAGGAGCTGTGCAGCTGTAGCCTCTGAATGGTGCAACCAAACCATCCCTTGTAGAGTGCTTTGCAATAATTTAGCCACCTGGTAAGAAAATGGGAACAATTTTGGCAGGCTCATCATTCAAAAGAAAAAAAAGTAACTTTCCCATCATGTGTAGATAAAGCAGGCTGACAGCTGCTACTACCTGGACACGCACAAGTAATTAGAGCATAAAAAGGTGCAAATCCCCTGCAAGAAAGGAATGCGAATATGATGCGTGTCATTTCCTGGGGCTGATTCCTGCTGCCTCTGGTAAGCTGTATTTAAGTGTTGTCAGAGCTGGCGCTCAGTCACCTAGAGAATTATAGTTAGTATACTGAATAGCAATGGCTGAAGGGACCAGACTAAAATAGTTTAGCATGGAGCTGGGTGTTAGCAGCACACTAATGATACTGCCCCTGGTAGTTCCCAGCCTTTGGGTTGTGTGTTCTTGTTACAAGCAGCAGCAATCCTGACACTGTAAACTCCAAGTAAAATAAGAAAACAGACTTTGTCTTTAACTTACCTGCAGGGGATTACGGAGTGAGAATCAGAGTGGTTTTGTTATTTTGGTAAAGCTAGCAGAATGATGAAGGGTTGCTAGACTGGGAATTTTGTTTGCAAACAAATGGTCAGCTACATTCACTGCTGACTTGGGGGTCACGGCAAGCACGTGGTGAATGGGATTTATTAAAATGTGTATGAATCCTGAAGTTTTTCTGAATTTTACAAAAAATATTTTTCATCTGGACATGGATTATTCATATAAAAGCACAAAATTCAGCAAAGGCTTTAGGATCTTATCGATTTCCATATGGAAGTAAGAGACTAAATGTATAGATTAACAAATTTTAGCAGATTCAGGTTTAATTTCCTTTCTGTTTTCATCATTTCATCAAGAATCTGAAGGAATACTGTGTGATATTATCAATTAATAAGAAAAAAAGAGTGACAGATTAGGATCAAATGTTAAGCTGTGAGTAATACATCTGGGGACAAATATGAAGCCGGATTCATTCACAAATGACTCATAGAATCATAGAATATTTAGGGTTGGAAAGGAACTTAAGATCATCTATTTCCAACACAGCTGCCATGGGCAGGGACACCTCACACTAAACCATCTCACCCAAGGCACTGTTCAACCTGGCCTTGAACACTGCCAGGGATGGAGCATTCACAACTTCCCCAGGCAAACTATTCCAGTGCCTCACCACCCTAACAGTACCGAACTTCTTCCTTATATCCAATCTAAACTTCCCCTGTTTAAGTTTTAACCCATTACCCTTTGTCCTATCACTACAGTCCCTAATGAAGAGTCCTTCCCCAGCATCCCTATAGGCCCCTTCAGATACTGGAAGGCTGCTATGAGGTCTCCACGCAGCCTTCTCTTCTCCAGGCTGAACAGCCCCAACTTTCTCAGCCTATCTTCATACGGGAGGTGCTCCAGGCCCCTGATCATCCTCGTGGCCCTCCTCTGGACTTGTTCCAACAGTTCCATGTCCTTTTTATGTTGAGGACACCAGAACTGCACACAATACTCCAAGTGAGGTCTCACGAGAGCAGAGTAATGGGGCAGGATCACCTCCTTCGACCTGCTGGTCACGCTCCTTTTGATGCAGCCCAGGATACGGTTGGCTTTCTGGGCTGTGAGCACACGCTGAAGCCGGCTCATGTTAATTTTCCCATCAGCCAACACCCCCAAGTCCTTCTCCTTAGGGCTGCTCTGAATCTCTTCTCTGCCCAACCTGTAGCTGTGCCTGGGATTGCTCTGACCCAGGTGTAGGACCTTGCACTTGTCATGGTTAAACTTCATGAGGTTGGCATCAGCCCACCTCACAAGTGTGTCGAGGTCCCTCTGGATGGCATTCCTTCCCACTAGCGTATCAACCGAACCACACAGCTTGGTGTCATCGGCAAACTTGCTGAGGGTGCACTCAATCCCACTGTCCATGTCAGCGACAAAGATGTTGAGCAAGACCGGTCCCAACACCAGTCCCTGAGGGACACCACTTGTTACTGGTCTCCAGGCGGACATTGAGTCATTGACCACAACTCTTTGTGTGTGGCCATCCAGCTCATAAGCAGATAAATGTGATAGAACCCCAACTGATATTATTTTAACTAATATCATATTTCTAACGTTATTTTTACTTTCTCAAAGGTTTGAGCAACTTGAGAAAACCTGCATTTGAATTAAATTGAAACATGTGCTAAGGACAGATAACATCGATGGGAAAGTCGGCCTTGAAACGCCATTCAATGTTTTAGACAAAATGCCATTATTTGGCATTACTATAATAACTGTAGGCAGAACCAATTGCCCAGGCAATTGCCCAGACACTTCAATTATGTTGGCCTGTCTGCTTCATCACAGACAACACCGCAGAGTGCCATTGAAAAGAGTATCTCCCAGAACAAAAAACTCTTGAAGACAACTTAAGATTCATCTCCTTTGATTATTTTCTCCCCCCAGTTTGGAGACTGGTTATGTAAAGTCTAGTATTGAATAAAGGAAGCTTTTTGACTGACCTAAGGGCTTGGGAAAATGAAAGCCATTAACTGTTTTCCTATTCTCTATAGACAATGAGAACAGTCTTGAACAGCCACAGCAAGGTCACTGTTTTGCGATCAGACTTGCATTCTGTCATCGAACAGGGATTTCTGGATATTCCTGGAAACCTCGTTCAAAAGGCGTTTAGGAGTCCAGACGAGCCGCAGAATGACATAGAACTCAAATGTAATATTTTTTTTTGCTACATTTTGTGTATTCACTTAAGCCCTTGTTTGCCACTGTTAAAGCTCCAGCATTTCCTCTTGTTTACCATTATGTCTGCCCTAATGGGAATTACAGACTTGCCATAACTCGAAGTGCTGGAAAAGAACAAATAGAACTGAGAATGGAGCACATAATATTATCCTTCTAACTTTAAAGGTTAAGAATGAAAGGCTTTCCATCCTGACTCTCACTTTTTCCTGTGGCAGCAGCAGTGGGGTTTGTGTTTCTTCTAGGAGAATGTTGACAAGCAGGGATATTTTTTATCCTTTTCTTTGACAAAAAAAGAAGTTTTTAAGCATTACATTTCACATTTTCCTCTGTTATTAATTCAAGTGCACTGAATAACTTCTTGTGGCCAGATTTTAAAATACTTTATGCTTAAGTGGACGAAGCCCTTCCGCTTTCGTGTCTTTTTGCTGTATTGCAGCCTGTAGACAATAAATGCAGTTTGTATGCAGCCATGCCATAATGCCTTTGCCAGCTTAATGAAAAGAGAAAGGAACATAATGGTAAGTTAATATTTAGATTACTGGGCTGCCATTTAAATTATTAGCATGAGACTGGCAAGTTGAACTAGGCTGTGCACAGAACTGATGAGGGGAAACCTCGGCTCTTCATTTCTGCTCTGCCACTGACTTTCTCACTGACAAGGGATGTGCCACAGCCTTACTAGCACTTCTTTCAGTAGGAATAATGATTTTCTTTCTTCACAGAACCATCAGAAGAACCCTTTAAAAATATTTATTTATATCTTGAAATCAAGTACAATGCTGTTATTAAATTTGCTCATTATATTAATGATGGTCTTACTCTCTCCAAGGCAGATATATTTCATTTTTTGTTTCCTTTGCTTTTCCAAACTGTTATTCATAATAAGCAAGGATTCACAGACCCTATCCATATGTCTTCCTGAAGTAAGATGTCCCATTAGATGGGCATAAATTTAGAGAGGAGCCACAGTAATGTACCTTTTGGCACAGGGTGGTAGTTTCCAATCTTTTTGGGGAACAGCTGCCTGATATGCAGCAGTATTATCTGTATTTCTGTTGGTCTACAGAATTCTGCATTTGCTGTTATTGTTTTGAAACCATTTTCTCCCCCTCAACAGATAAGCCAGTATTTTCTTTTCTCAACCATATAAAATCTCAGATAAGTAAGTTGGCATTGCATATAACCAAATTCCAGCTTTCACATTGGAAATGTTTATTCTTGCCACTTTTGCCATAATGCACTAGATCACTGCAGATATAGTAGAAATGGACATAAATGTGAATTCTGACTGATTTCAAAGTAGGGTACAATTCCTTAGTAAATGAACAGTATAATTGCATTGATCAAAATTATATAAACAGATGTCTTAATACATTTCAAGCTAAAGATAAAAGAAAGAAAAAATGAAGTCAAAAACTGTAGAAATAAACCAAAAAGCAAACCAATCACTTGAAGTAATGACCTCCCTTCTATATTTCATAGGTTTGAATGACTTAGTGTCTTTGCTGACACCTTCCACAGACATCCGGGTTCTCTTGAACTGTGTGTCTTCGAATCTTCATGCTTTTGTCATCCAGGTACAAAATTAATAATTTCAGAAGAGAAAGAGTGATCATACAAATTATCCAGCTACACGCTGACTGTCACTACTCTGCAGGAGCTACATTGTGCACTAGCAACCTGACCAGACTGCAGATTTGCATAAATACAATTTATGCATGCAGCAGAAAAAGAGAGAATTAATTGGCATACAAAAATTCCATCTGTGCAAACAACCACAAGCCTATCTCTGTGCATATATCCACTTGGGCAGTTTCAGTATCTGCTCTCATTTCATAGCCACATATCCTAACAGTTCCTATTAAACCAAAGTTAAGAAGAAAAATGTTCGTAAAAAGGAGGAGAACACTTTATGATTCTTGAAAACATTGATTCATAAAACTGTTGACCTTTAGCAGGTGGTAGGAGAGTGATAATTGCTAGCACAATGTCTACAGCTCCTGTGAAAGATTCAAGTATGACCATCCTCACATACGCACCTTTCCATATGTTACCAATTCTACCACGCCTGTTCCATCACTGATTCTGAGTTAGCGGTAGCTTAAGCGTACTGCTGAATTCTGCTGCTTGTCAGCCCGATTAACTTGAGTCTGAGTGGTGGTTAAAGGGTTGTTTGGGTTTGGGATTTTTTTCTCTTTCTGAAGAAGTAGGGTAAATTTACTTCTTTAGCTTGGTTATTTCCTAGTTTTTCATTCTTAATTAAGACTAGTACTTTGCAGTTCTGTGGTGCCTTCAAATCACAGAACCCTCAGCTACCTCAACGGATAGTCTAGAGAAGACAGAACGGAGCTTCTCCTGGGTGTTCAGAGTCATGGGGCATAAGGCAATGGATACAAGTTTCAGCAAAGAAAATTCCCAATAGACAGAAAGCAAAACAAACAAACAAACAAACAAACAACAAAAAAACCCCTCAAACAACCAAACAACAATTGCCAGGAGAGTAGTTAAGCATTTGAAGAGGTAACCTGGAAAGACTGTAGAACCTCCATCCCGCAGCTATGCAGAACCTGAACAATGCCTGAACTAAGCTGGCCATGCTTTAGACAAGAGATTGAACTAGATGTTCAAAAGTCCCTTTCAACTTATTTTAGGATTCTGACAAAAAAAGCAAACCAGAAAAAACACCTTTTTGTTCCACCTTTGTATGCACTCTGTACAGGGAAATGGTCTGCAACACAATAATGAATTCTTTTAACCAACTTTTTCATAAAGCAATTTTTTTGTTCTATCTGCAGCCAAGCAGGAATAAAGAGGAGTTTAGAGAACTGGCATCAGATTTCCATTTGAGATGGAACTTCCTACTGAGAACAATAAGCAAGGCTATGACCCTCAACAACACAGACAGTTTTGGTAAGTAGGATCTTTGTGACTTGATTGGTATGCCCCTTTCTGAACTGAGATGGCAGAGGCACCAGATCATATTAACTGACATAAATTTATGCTACAGTCAATAGGGCATCACTTCTTCCTTACTCCATTCAAGCACCTTTTGCCTGGTGATGTGCCTAGACGTGTCAGGGACATGAAATTATTCCTTTTCTTACCAAACTAGTTCTCTGAGCCAAACCCTAGGATAAGCAGCAGGGAGGAGAATATGAGCATGCCGCTGGAGATGGCAGGAAGGGCAAGACTCCCTCTCTTTTTCAGCAGAAGCCATTATTTTTCTGTGGGGAAATGAGGAACAGTAGCCAGAGGTGTGAGCCTTTGCTCTCCCTCCCTACAAGAGCTGCACACCCCAGCAGAAGGGTGTGATGGAGACCTAGAGCCACTAATATCCAAAACCACAAACATTACAGATATATCAAGTGGTAGGTCAAAGTCCTTTGGGTTCTTTCTGTACAATAAAGCCAGAGTAGAGCCACTGTGATAGCAACTTGCTGGAAAGGCAGCTAGTACCTCTGACAACAGCTATGTGCTCCTTTTCCATATGCCTTCCACTGACTTAGGTGCTTGCCTAGGCAGCAGCAAGCCTCTTTAAACTGTTAAACTGACTAAAAACTGGTCACTCCTTTAGCTGGGTTAGTTTTGCCTCTGATTTAGGGTTCTGAGCTGTCAAGCATCAAATCCATCATACCCCAGTGCACATCAGGAAAAGTGAAAGGACTGTGCAGTCATATTCACTCAGTGTCTTGAATTGGTGCAACCATGTCTTGAGTAAGTTCAGTCTCTTCCATTTCTGTATTGCATCAACTTCACCTACTCTCTCTTTTCAATTTTAAAAACTTCCAGAGTGTCTCTCTCCCTATTATTCATTCTGCAGAGAGGTATAATCTCCTATGAGCAGCATCTGATAAGCTGTATGAACCTCTTTTTTTTCGATTTTCAGTGGAGCATCTTCTTATTTTTTTGTCTGTTGTTGGATGGGGCTTCACACAAACAGCCAAAGAAAACCTCATTATCTTCTTTGAAATTCCCCTTCAAAACTGAACTTTCATGTATTTCTTACAAAGACATAACAAAGGGGTACATTAAGGTTGTGGACTTCTGTATTTTTCAGTATTCTTCCCCCATTAATACCTGTGTTTGTGCATGTATGTGCAGACTCCTTTTCTGCATATAGCTGCTACCTTTTGCCTTATATTTAGGCTGCAAACTGGCCGTACCAGGATCTATGAGCAGGGAACATAGCACAGTAGGGTCCCTTGTCCATCAGCTGTTGCATTACAGTAATTAAAATAATTAGTCTTTCCCTCCACAGGATTTCTGTACAACACTCTCCAATGCTGCATGCAATACTTTGGGCAATGAGGGAATTTGGAATGAATTCCAAAAGCAGCACTGGAAGCATAATGTTTATTGAAATTCCCCACAATGATGAAATCCTCTTCCTTCTTTCCATCACAAGAAGAGTTTAATGAACTGCTTCCCTGTTCTGCAGTTGTCAGTGGCTAGGGACATAAATGATGGAGATCATCCCCTCTTCTGCTGAGCCTTCCTTAAACTAGTTACAAATAATATTTTCATCTCACTTATGACATTCTTCCTACTATACTTCACTAATATTGAATTTATTCTCACATATGGGAGTTAAAAATATTTTTTAATCTTCTGCTGTGGTGCTCCAATTGATTTGGTCATTATTATCTCCTTGGTTGTTTAAGATTTGGGGTTATATCATCTAATAATGTCCCTTCTTTCCCATGTTTCTGTTCTGGTAGGATATTGAGTTTTAGTGGACAAGACTGACAATGTGCTGTTAACAAGCCATCTGGTGTAGAAGGTCCCTACTCAGGGCCACTGCTTTTCAGAAAACTCTTAAATCTCAGTATTTGTTGCAGGAATGGTCGTCATCCTGGAAGTCAAAATATGTAACATCCACACTGAGGATACACAATTACTAAGGGAAACGTGTGAGCATCATGTTAATGCAGTGTTAATGCAAAACTACACCTCATACCAGTAATCAAAATTTGTCTGGAGCTCCTGCCTTGGAGCTTGGCACATCTGGCACACATAATATACTGTCATACTCACATCTCTGAATTCAGAATGGACTTTTAGGTTTTACTTTTACCCTTTTCCAGCCCAGCCTTCACATGGGTGATGCCCAACTGTGATCACAGGAAGTGTTCAGCTACCCCCGCTGCAAGGCATCAAGGAGCAAGTGTGCTACAGCAGTCAGGGCTAAGGGGACCTCTACAGCTCTTTCAGCTCCACCTCCTCCCCAACAAACATGCCTTTACATATCTCTGTCACAAAGCTTCGTGTCAGCTGGTAAACCTCCCTTTCCATACCAGCCTGCCTTCCAGGGCATTCAGGAGTGTATTGCTGAGCCACACTGGCTGGACAGTGACCCATGCATTCCTTTTTTGTATGCAAGCTTTTTCAACCTACTCCCTCTTCAAAACTGCGTCCCTCTGTATCATCCCAAGGGACAACTGAAGTGGTAGCTGTTGTTTCATGCTTAGTCTTCTTGAACACACTGAAAACATCTGTAAGACTGTTAGAAGCACTTGTAGGCTACTAGTGCCAGATCTGCATAGTTTGAACTCCAAGTATAATAGCCTTTTTCCTTGTCCCATAGGTGAACAACCACTTCCACTTAGCTATAATATAAAGATGCACAAAAGGACAAACAGGAAAAACAGTAGCTTCTCAGACACATATAGCATAAAAAGAGGCAGCATTTTTCATTTTTCAAGCTTAGTTTTTCATATAAATTTTGGTATCTCCTCATTGATGTCCCTATAAACATGTTTGTGGGATGCAGAGGTTACAAATTGCTAGATGAATTGCTGTGCAGGTTTATGGCATGGAAGAAGACTTACTATTTACTGCAAGGGCTTTCAACCAAGGTAAGATTCAAAAGTCAATGGCCGCAGTGAGTCTGTCTTGGCTTTTAGCCATTATGCCCCAAGCTGCAAGGTAGGCCATTTAATGTCATAGGTACAAGATATATAGATGTATGTAGGAGGGTTTACTTGGCAAGATTTATCCAAGGGGAGAATTGGGGGTGATATGTGGTTGATGATAAGCCTTGAAGCAGCAGTGAATGTAGGGGAAGAACTTGAGCAGGAAAGCCTATAAACAGGAGTATGCTTTCCTCTCTAGCTAAAATAAAGGGGGGAAAGGCTTTTGCTTATGTTTCAAATCTGCTGTTGGTTCCTTTTTTGATGTGATATTTGGAAGTACATAATCTTGTAGGTACTACCTGATGAGTGCTAGTCTGCTCCTTTGTCTAGCCCATTACTATAATGAAGCCCTTCAAAGAAGAATGCATCACGGAGATAAGGAAATGAGGAGGTTGTTAAAATTATTTTTGCTTTTCTTTAAACCTAGGATCCTGGCATTTGCTTAACTTGCTGCTCATGGATTTTGTGGCTCACATTTTCCTGTCCTGTATAGAGGAGAAGGAAGATGAAAGTTTCTGGGTTGCAAAGCAAAATGAGTTCCCTGTTCTGTGGTACTACAAGCCCAGCTATCTCTGGGGCTGTTTTGCAGAGGAGCAACGTCAAGCCAGTACTCTACAGCCCGCTTTCAGAACTTCGATGCAGAGCCAGAATAACTTTGGAAAGAGCATGTTTTTCCAGAGTTCTGAGATATGCGGTGGACACAGCCACTGGCAGCAAGGTAAAATAAACACTAACTTTAAAGAAAATGACAAAAAAAAAAAAGGGGAAAAAAAAAAAAAAAGGTCAATTGGGAGGGATCTCAGGAAGTCTGTGATTGTTTGGGGGATTTTAGGTGTGTAAAGTAGTAAAAATGAAATCTTTACATCCCACCTCCATCCCATGATCCTATCAAGGATCCACCCACCACATCATCACAGTTCCCTGATTCTTGCCTTGGGTTTCCAGAAGACCTTTGGCATCCCTCCAGATTCCCTGAGCATTGTCTAAGCAAGAGCAGTGCTGTTCTGGTGCACTGGGAGCAGCGTTTGTGCTAGCTGATGAACAGGCTGCATGCACTCACTGTGCATGACATGGTCTTTTCTCACTACTAGAAGCACTGAGAGGCTCTTTTCCCTCCACCTACCTGTTAGTTTTATCAAAAGATATATGAAATCCTTGAGATCTTTCTGCTCCACTGGACTTTCTTGCAGTCAGTCTGCTGCTTCAAACTTACTAGCATAAGGGATGACATACAGGTAGGAAACAAGAAAGACTCTAAGTCTTCCTAGAACACAAGGCTAAATATAAAGACATATGGGAACATGGATCAAGCCTCTGTGCTTAACACAAATGATGAATTAGACATTCATCTGTTTTCAGAAGTCTCTTCTATGTAGTAACAGCCCTTGTCTTAAATCTCAGAGAACATTGTGTTTTCCAGAAAATGGTGCTGGACAAATGTTAATGGCACCAAGACTTATGAAGAAAATAACATTCTTAAGGTGATGCTGCTAAAGTTGTTTTACTCTCAAGATGTATTCAGCTTCCTTAAACTAGAACCAGGACTGGAAACGGACTGTTTTAAAAAAAATCTTTATTAGTTATACAGACCTGTCATGGACCCTTGTTTTTTTAAATATAAAATATGCCAAAAGTACCTCAGCAATGAAAATGGGAAGGGAGAAAGAAGGTACAAAGGGGACAAACCAAGAAAGATTTATATGCGTGATGGGCATGTTTGACAGCTCTTGCTGTTTTTCAAATGTAATACAATGAACCAACCTGCTATAACCCCTTAATGTCAAAAATCAAACTGAGCTGCGTGCAGGCTAAGAGCAAGGACTCCCTAAACCACTGGTGGTCAGAAACTGGGAGATAAACCAGTAGAAATCTTATTCAGTATCTGCCCTCCTTCCCGTGCTCTTTCACCGTGCTGCCCATACGGGCTTTTGTATGTCCCACTATGCCCACTGTAATGCAGGTGTCAGCAGACAAGAGTTTGTCTGCGTAAGCAATGTGCCTATAAATATGTCTATCAGTTTTGCATATTTAGGCTGATCAGAGTGAGGGATGAGGGGTGTCAGAGAGGAAGGGTATAAAACATGAAATGGGGAGTATGAGGACTTGAGGAGAAGGTACGGAGACAGTGAAGGATTGGGAAAGTGTAGAAAGAGCTTAGAGTTAAAAGATCCCAAAGGCTGATGGATCTTATCAGTCCACATACAAGATGCTGATAATGGCAGGCTGCAAAAGAGATCTACTGATGGTTCGAGTGTTTGCAGTTTGTGAGGGAGCTGAAAAATTGGAACCTGCAGCTCAAAAGGGTTTTAGGAGCTGTGATAGTGAGTGAGCACTTCTGCCTACTCGTGTCTTCAATTGGGTGGTAGCTCCCACCTCAACTGTTGCAGGCTCCTTCTTTTTGAGTGTCCATACTAACTCTACAGGTTGCTGAAAAACACAGGGTGCTGAAAAACTCATCTTCATCACCCACCACTTTGTATCACATCTCTACAGATCTTTTGAATAGATTTCCATTGCATGAGGGTTTGTGTTCTGCAACTTTTGGTCACCAAAAATCATCATCATCATGCTCCCAAGCAACCATCTGTCCCTGCTCCTGACTAATCCCCCTTTGGCCACAACTCATTCTGTGGGGTATCTAAAGCCTCAGCAGCCTTAGTGGCACCCACCAGTCACACTCCTGTTTCCTGGACCACATTTCTGCTGCCTGGCATCTCTCTCTCTGCATCATGGGTATATTTCATCATTTTTCCTTTTAACTCCTTTACCTCACGCAGCCCCTGCAGCTCTCTGAGCCCCAGTGCCTTTTGTCAGTTCCCATCCTCCACTCTGTCCACTGCCAACAACAGCAACCTCCATACCTTTTTAATCTTGTCCCACAAGGCATTTCTGTGCCTTCTCTACAGCCTGTTAGGCTTAGGAAAAAAATCTGTTCATCGCACCTCCACCCTCATCTCATTGAAATTAGTGCTAAATACTCTGTTTTGCAGTGTAACCCTGGAAAAATGAGAGGGAGGACTGGTAACAGAAATCAGAAAAGAATCTCCCAATCTTGCCCTGATATCAGCAGCACCAGTGTGTGTCTGTGGCTTAGCGGATCCCTTCATGATCTTTTAGTTGTCACCTTCACTCTTCCTCTGCCTTTCCCATCTGTTTTTGGTCTTCCATTCCTAGTTCATGATGAATATAAATTACACTCCTCGGCAGAGAGACCATTTTATTCCCATTTATACTGAACAGCACAGTGCATTTCTGAATCATTTTTTAAATATATATATAATTTGAAGCATGGAAATAATTGCTAATAATCTTGAAAACAGAATATATTCCTATTTAGTGCCATCTCCTGAGGAACATGTTAGTTTTACATGAAAAAATGTAGAGGGTGGGGAGTAAGACAATACAAGATTTGAACACACTGGCTTAACAGGGAGCATGGCAGATGAAATGTTATACAGCCAACAGCATGTAGTATGAACTAAGAATTGCCGAAACTGGTGGCAGTAACAAAGATGCTCTGAGTGAGCCATAATCTATAAAAGTGCAGCTCAGAGAGAATTGGCCTGATCTTTATTCCTTATCACAGAGCTTGCAGTTGCTATCGCTCAGCATGAATAGCATTTTTTAATCTAGAAAATCCCATTCTAGGCTTCCTCTCTTTGTTCACTTGTTACCAAATTAAAATCCTATTAAACTGCACACCTGCAGTGGGTTTATCTGCAGAGCACCACGCTGTAGCTTTTAATCCAATTCCACACCTTCATAACATACAATATACTGCAAATCAGGGCGCAGAGAGACAGAGGGTACACTGTTCATAGCTTTGTTGGCAGAGAACACTTTGATTTGTTAAAAAGGGAGAAAAAATAAGGACATAGTTAATTACTTAAAGGAATGGTAAGTGTTCATATGAGTGGTCTGTATAATCCGGGATACAGAGAACAAGTGAAATTATTAATTAAAATGATCAAAAACTGAGAGCAAAATCTTGACCCTACTTAAATTCAGTGGCAAAACTTCTGCTGATTTTAAGAAAGCACGGATTTCAGCATGAAAAGGCAGTCCCCATCAGGGGAGAGACAGGCTGAGTGGATGTGGTCTCTTATCAGACCTTGCTGCCCTACGATGAAATCCAATGTGTATCTCCTCTTGTTGGGTTAATTGATGTAAAATAAGGTTGGGTATCTGTAAAATAACTTGGGTTCAACAGCAGAGAACAGAGAAGAATTTTTTTTATTCAAGGAAGAGACAAACAAATGATTTACAGTTCCTATGGTCAAAATATTTCCATTTTTCTTTTTAACTTTCAGCTCATGCAGGTCCTTTTGAAAGAGAGAACTACCAAAACTTTTACTATGTTGGATCTTCAAGTCAGAAGGAAAGCACTTCTTACTCAGAACAAGACAGAGATGATTCTTGACTTCAATGAACACCAAACTTTCAGAGAAAACCAGCCTGACTTGAAAATTCTGTATGCTAGACCGTTATTACTTTCTGATATAACTTTAAGAAAATACTGTTTTCATTCTCTTAAATTTAAGATATTTTCCCCAGAAATACTAATTGCGAAACTCTACTAGCAACACTGGTTGTTTGTTTTTTTTCAGATGTCATGCTATTTTGTTGTTTATTAGAAGAAAAAGGTAAAATATTTGTGGTTTGCTTTTCATAGAACCATAGAATGGTTTGGGTTGGAAGGGATCTTAAGGCTCATCCAGTTCCAACCCCCTGCCATGGGCAGGGACACCTTCCAGTAGACCAGGTTGCTCAAAGCCCCATCCAGCCTGGCCTTGAACACTGCCAGGAATGGGGCAGCCACAGCTTCTCTGGGCAACCTGTGCAGCGTCTCACCACCCTCATAGTGAAGAATTTCTTCCTAATATCTAATCTAGACCTCCCCTTTGTCAGTTTAAAGCCATTCCCCCTTGTCCTGTCACTACATACCCTTGTAAAAGTCCCTCTCCAGATTTCTTGTAGGCCCCATTTAGGGCCCCCTTTAGCTTCATCTATTTCTTGTAGTTTTGTCATCAGTAAAGCTGAAGGCCTACCTGAAGTCATTCTGGTAAATTTATCTGGAAGCTACAGAACAGATGAGTGATGCAACAGCCGTTTACCAGCATGTATTTTACAGAAGTTGAAGTTTGCACTGTCATTCTGAAGGGGTCTGCTGCAAGAACTGAAAAGGAGCAGGATGCAAAAGCACCTTTAGTAAATAGGGCTGTTGACATAAACTCAACTACACACTCAAATCTTTGCCTAATTAAAGCCTTGCTGGGGAAACATTTAATAGCAGTGCTTAGATGTCAAAACAAATCCCATGAACACCAGAACTGATTGACAATGTCTGTCTTCTAGGACTTGGAGTCTTGCTGTTGCTTGACCCTGGTGTCCAAATGAATCTTTTCCTGCAACATGGTCATGCTCCCTCGTGGATTCTCCCTTTTACTGTAATTGAAGGCATCCCATCACCTCTATCCAGGCGGTTGGTTTCACCTGCCAGTTTCTGCAGCACACATACAGGAAACTCTAGTGCGAGGTGCCCCTGCCCATGGCAGGAGGGCTAGAACTAGACGGCCTTGAGGTCCTTTCCAACCCAAACCCCCCTATGACTCTGTGCCTACCGCGAGGGGAGCGGCTGCTGCGGGCCGGCGGCCGCAGGAGGGTGCTGCGGGAGCGGAGCGGCGCGGTGCGGCCGCTGCTGCAGAAGATGTCGGCGGGGTGGCGGTGGCGGTGGTGGTGCTGGTGGCTGCCGGCGCTGCTGTGGGGCGGCGCGGGGGGTTACGTGGTGGTCAGCTCGGTGTCCTGGCCGCTGCCCGAGGGCGGGGAGGCGGCGGCGGACGAGCTGCACAGCTCCTCCACCGAGGAAGCGCTCCCCGCTCTGCTGGAGGAGGCGGGCGGCCTCTGGAAGCAGAGCTACCCGGCTTCGGCTTACCGTGAGGATGCGGCGCTGGGCTCCGGGCCGGCGGGCCGGCGGGAGGGGCAGGGCGCCGTCCCCTCCAGGATGTTCTCCTACCGCCGGGAGGGCGGCGGGGCGGCGGGGCGCGCCGGAACCGCCCGCTTCCTCGCCCGCCACAACACCTGGGGCTTCGTGGCGACGCGGGCCGCGCAAGGAAAGGTACGGTGCCCCCCTGGTGTCAGGCCCGGGCAGCCGCGGACACGCGGTACCGGCCACCGAGTGCCTCGGTCTGTTGAGCCGCTGGCAGCGCCCGTGCGGCAAGAGCCGAGTGCTTGGAGGAGGTAGCACAAACTCTTTCTAGTAATGGGAATCGTGTTTGGAGGAGCACAGCGGGAGGGGGCACGGGAAAAGCCAGAGCTTTAGGCCAGACCCAGAGCTACAATGCTGGGTTTGGAGAGAGGGTATTTCATGCCTTGCAGCACCCTCCAGCGTGCCCCTGCCCCTACTTCTGCCCCTACTCCTGCTCCTGTCATCCCAGAGCAGGATGGAAAACGGAACAAGGAGGAGGAGGAGAAGACCCTGCTGAGTTACCACAAAATCTGTCTGTCCCACAGCTGTCCAAGCTATACCAGATTAAAGGATGGTAACTCTGTCAGGAGCGTGAAGCAAAATAGCTGGGCTGCACTGGAGAGTCAGGGTCATTGTTTTTTCAGGCTTTAAAATATTCCTGTTTTCAAAAGGAAAGCTTGGCTGATTTATTGGAAGTTTATGTTATTGTGAAACACAAAGTACCAGGTTAAAAAGCGATGCCATTAAATATATACATACACGCAAGAGGCCTGTAATTCTACATCACATTGTCGGAAATCCTGTTAAATCATACGATCTTACCTCTCCTGGTTTATGCTCTAGCCAGAAACCCTCAATGGAATCAGCCATCGTGTAGTCTGTAGTTAGCTGTCTCTAGTTACAACTCAGCAGTAATACAAAAAGATCTGATTCATAATAAAATTGGGAATTGATGGGGGTTGTTTCTGCTCTGAATGCTGAGTTATGCTGCCTGTGATCGCAAGTCTTTAGGAGAACCCACTGTGACATTAACCACGGGTGACAGACTGAAGATTTTGGGCAATGGGAACCTGTCCTGCAATATTACTGACAGCTACTATACTTAGTTTCATTGTAACTTGTAATAATAAACAGGTATTTTTAGTTTCTAAGTTATGTAGCTTCATTAAAGCTTGATCCTTGAGGTCCCTTCCAACCTGGTATTCTATGATTAAAGCATTCCTTCTTAGGTATGCTAACAAGGACCACTTACAAGCAATGTAATCATTAAAATTTTAAAGGCATATGAACATTAAAAATCAGAAAGCATGCACTCCAGGTAATAATATCATCCAGGGTGTTCTTATTAACTATGCCTACTTAATTTGATTTCGCTACAAAGGATTTACCAGTTACATTGAATTAATGTATTAACTGGTAATGTTACTATTTAGTGTCTAATTGACCATGAGGAAAGAAATATCTGAAGACATGAAAAAGTAGCAATTCATTAAGTATCTGCCATTGCAATTTATAAGGGGATGAAAAGCATAGTAGGTTAAATCATTATGGAGAATGCTAATGTGTGTCATTACTGGGCAGAGACATTTTTGCAAGGTTATATCCAGTGTGTGTATGCAGGCCAGTGTATGGGAGAAAACTTGGAAAACCTGGCTCCTTGGTGTCCCTCCTCTGACATGGGAGGAGGGTTTGCTCTGGCTTGGTGGTCAAGACCGCCTCACAGCTGAGGTTCTTGCCCAGGCAGCTGAGCTGATATCCAGCTTGGCTTCAGATACAACTCTGGCTAACATGCCTTCCTCTTGGCAAACTGACGGCAATCACATTGCAAATCAAGGCCAAAAGGGGAGGCAGAACTGGCGTAAAAAGCACGCTGAGTCAAGGCTAAATTAGGCTCTGTATGCTGCATGGGTTTCCGAAAAGGCATCAGCACTGTTTTAGAGTACACATTTCTTGACACTGATGGCATTGATTTTAATGCACTCTAGACATTTTTAATTTGATAGTTCTTTTAAGCTCAGCAAAAGAGAAAATGTTCTCTATAGTGTCATGGACAGGAATGGAAGTAATAAATAGAGGAGATATCTCTTTTCATAGAAGCGTGATAGATCTAATTTAGAACGAATGCTGTCTCATGATGACAGCAGAAAGTGAGAGCAATTGGGGGTTGCTCTCCTCTCTGCTAGAGCCTTTGAAGGACTCCCCAACTTTGTAGACTATGTGCAAAGGTATAACCAGCAGCTTATTTGGATTTTGCAGATCCAAGGTATGCCCTATGGGAACTGTTTGCTTCTCAGCGATGGTCCCGTCAACAACAGCACTGGAATCCCTTTCTTCTACGTGACGCCAAAGGATAACACCGTGGCGGATCTCCTAAAGAATCCTGTGGCTTCTCTGACCCTGCCAGAGGTTGATGGAAATTTCTGCAGGTAACAGAGTTGATCTATCTGCCTGGTACCACTTTCAGTGAGAACAAAGTCCTCACAACATAATGCTCAGTCCCCACCTTCAGTGTCCCACTTTTATTTTTGGCTCTCACCACCAGTCACAGGCTCCTCCTAAGGTTTGTTTTGCCCCAGTAAAGCATGGTAAAGAAAAGCAGATGTGTCATAGGATTATAGAATGGTTTGAATTGGGAGGGACCTTAAAGCTAATCTAATTCCAACCTCCCTGCAACAAGCAGAGATACCATCCACTAGATCAGGTTGCTCCAAGCCCTGTCCAACCTGGCCTTGAACACTGCCAGGGATGGGGCAGTCACAACCTCTCTGGGTAACATGTTCCACTGTCTCACCATCCTCACAGAGACACCAGTGAGTTGACTTCTACCTAATCATATGTACAGTGAGTAAATCCAGATCACTGAAGCTTTACGTCTGTAAGATGTATGGATGCAGACTCAAAGATGATTCAATTTTCCCCTCTATTCTTGTCTCCTTCAAAAAGACGTATCTCTGCCATATGTTTGTGTTGTGGTTTATACAGTTTCTTTACAGTCAAACGTGTGGCAAACTTGCCTGGGTCAGCCTTGCGTGAAGTGTTATTTCCAAAGGCCTCTCTATGTGAGGGGGTGCATGACACCGAAATTGTGTCAGACAGGACTCCGTTACCAAAGCAGATCTCAGCTGATATTCCAAGGGGAGAGAGAGAGAAGAACTAGAAATCACAGGCTGCTTCAGAAAGGAATGGTATTGAAGGTTTTTACCCCAAATTAAGGTTCTTTTTGAGGGAGGAGAAGTATATCTTAAGAACTGGATCACAGATTTCCCCAGCTGGGGTTTCCTTGGGCATCATTCCTCCTCTCAAGCCTGCTAGTTGAGAACAACACTGGAAAAAGCAGCGAATAGCAAATATAAAGCACATTGCTGTTACACTTGTCTGTATTTGTCTCCAGAATATACTGTTTTCCTGAAAGTTATATGGTGGCAAAATGAAAGGTTTCTTAGTCCTAAGCAGTACAGGTGATTTCAGGCTGACATCCTATTCCCAAGGAATAGAAACCATGTCTTCCCCTTGCAACCTCAAACACCAAATATGACCCTTCTATGGTAACATTCGTTAAGGTAATTCAGCTTTAAATGCTTAAGAAGGTCAACAGACTGGTGAAGTTAACACCGGAATGGTTCTGTTTGTTCCTTTAAATTATTTCATCAAATATTTTGAATTAATCTTTTATTAAATAAATTTATCAGCTCTTTCATAACAGGCTAATGGAGCTTATTCCTGCTTGCTAAGCTTTTTCATTCAATCAAACAGTGAGCTGAATATCTAGACCAAGTGCTTAAAAATTTATGTTAAATCCTATGTCCTAGCACCTACCCAATGCCCTGTTTTTGGAGGCTCAAGACTCAGAGCAGCTTCTATTGATGGTAACTGCTGGTGTTAAGCACTTCTGAAAACTACACACCCATTTCAGCACTTAAGTGTGGCCTTTCATCCCTGACTTTAAACAGCCACTCTTGAAAGTCGTTGCTTTTTATGTTTCAGCAATGTCACTGCCTGATTTACCTGTTTGAGAAGTGCCAGCTCAACAAAGAAAGAGAAATGCTGCATGATTTATAGAAATATGAAATTCATATGCATCACAACCCTTCAAGAATATTTATTCTCTGGCTTTCTATTAAGTAACTATTAACTTCCAAACCAAACCACTACTCTTTAGTTCCACGCACCAGATAATTTGGTGCTGTTTGTCTTGCAACCAGGGCAACCTGGATGCTGCCACCCAACTTGCTAGTCCCTGACACAGCCTGAGACCATGCTCTCTAGTGAGAAGAGCTCTCTGGGCATGGAGCTAAACCTGGATTTCCAAGACAGCTTAAGCCAAGCTAATTACCAGTTGTACATCCTTACTCTCCCTCCCTACCACCAGTCACATGATGGTGCCCCCCATCGGCTCTGGGCTCTGCCTGACCCTGAGCTGAAACATACGTCTGAAGAAAATTAACCTGACGATGAGAATAAGGTTTTCTGCCAGTCCTTCTTCCTTTCTTCCCGTAGCTGCTCCTGGACACATAATCCCACCCCCTCCCTTCGGCTGACCATATGGTGGGCCTATTTTAGCTCTGTAACCCAGCGGAAACCTCTTCCCATTTTATTTTTCCTGGATGAGATTTCTGCTGGGCTTGTAAATTGAATAAGCTCCCCAAGAGCCATAGGAGTGCAAAAGAGCGGGGAAAGGAGAAAGTAGAGGAAAATAGGGCATTGTTTTAGCATGTAACGGTACTCTAAATATTAAGCTTAGTAAGAAATTGAGTGCACAGATTCAGAGTCTGATCAGTGCTCCTTGCATTATTTATTTTGTTCTTACATTCGGTTTGTTTTTCATTATTTCTGGAATTCTCATCTGGAACAGATGTTGGCTGGCATTAGGGCAAAGAACAAGCAATACAGAGAATGAAAAGTTGGGACATTTGTTGAGCTGCAGTATGCGTTTTTGATGATAGCTAGGAAAATGTGAGCTGTCTTACAGCCACAATTTGGGGCTGTCTTACAGCCACAAAGCATGTGGCCACTGGGACTTTAACCTTCTTCTTTCCCTTCCCTCTGTAACCAGGGTCAGAAATGACTTTACCTTTTAAACTAGCAACATCTTAAACAGCTTGCTGCCTCTGCTGCCAGCACCCAAAGCCTCCCTTTGGGGGTGCACTCTACCTGCCAGAATAGCCAGGCTGTGCCATGCAAACAGCACAGAGCATTCCTAATGCAGAGCTCTGTGTGGTGGTGCAGGTTCTCCATGTTTCTTTATGTGAGAGGTAGACTTTTTGTGCTGAGAGACCTCAGGTCCTGCTAGTATTAAAATAGTATCAGATTTTATTGCAAAGGCAATTGTCATTTACAGATGGTTTTAATACCAGAAGTTCTCTCGGTCAAGAACATTGTTAATGGTTTTGGCTTCAAAATAATTATACAAAATAGCTAAATGAATAATGTTTTTTGTGAGAAAGTTCGTGTCCTTGTACGCCAACAATGTATTTGTAGCTTGTTTTCATATGGAATTTTATTAGAATTTCATTATTAACCTGAGTTAGAATTTCATTATTAACATGAGTTGCAAGTATTACAATAAATGTGGAAGCTGGTTGATGCCTGCAGTCACTGCTCCTGGGAGTATTTGGCACTCTCCTGAAAAATGCCAGAAATCTCTGGCCTTTAGAAAGAAAACATAACTGACATTTCAATAGTCTTCTTGTATTTAATGAGTTTCAACTGACTTGTGTGTGTGCACATCAATTTGATATTAAATTTATTTAGTAGCGAATTTCATTTGTTTTGTTTCAGAACAGATCATGCTCCAAACCTTGACAATAAATATGTTCGCTTTCAAGGATGTGAGGAATAGAGAGTGGCCTTTTTGGTGCTCCAGGCTTAATATTTAATCAGCTGGAGAGAAAAATTGATAAGCCTAAACCAGTAAGAGAAATAACATTAAATAATGAAAGAGAGCTGTTATGCATCTGAATAGGCACTAATTGCAAGACATTAGAATGTTGCAGCTACAGTCTGGATTCCTCATCTCTGACCTAGAGACTGCCATTTCCCAGAGGGAGAGGGCTGCACTTCTCTCAGAAGGCTCTCTGATGGCCTGGATAGAAAAAGCATTGGTTAGCAATGACACTGCACCCTATCTGAAGGCTGGTAAATGGATAATAGAGGCAAGAAAAATTAAATGGTTCAGGGCTATAAATAGACTAAGCTGGCATGTGTGTGCCATAGGCAAGCTGAAAAGATTAAGTCCCATTCTTAGAGCTTTCAGAGGGAGTGAGCTCGAGCCCGAATAGAGCAGCTATTGTTCTAAGTGCATTTCCCAACACACAGGCTGCTCAGAGAATCCCTCTTTCCAGGGAGGCTCCTGGGTCTGCCTCATTACAGCTGCAGTCTGGAAAACAGGCAATTAGTTTTAAATGTGTGTCACCTCCTTGACATCAGGTTCGGAACATTTGCAGGGACCAACTGCAGCCTTCTTGGAGACGGAGCAGTTACACGGCTGCCGTGACCCGGTTTTCACACCAGGGAAAAAGAAAGAAAAGCAACAAGCTTGGGGTCAGTTTGTTTTCCTTTGCTATTAGTTTGGAGAATGGTATTTCAAATCCACACTGCAGACTGCGAGTGATTCTGCAGGACTTGAGTTCCTCTCCTGGTTTATGACCTGCATCATAAACCAGGGTGGCTCCAGCAGAGCCATTTTACCCTCCATGCTCATGTACTGCTGGAAGTAGCAGATTACCACAACCAGGCAGATGTCTTCAGTGTATATAAGCTGGCTCCATAGGTTTCCTAAACTCTGCATTGAGAAGGCTGCCAGAAAGTGCTGATCATCTCCAGTGCTTCTGAATACCACCAGGCCATGGGCAGAGAGTAATTAGGTGGGTTAGGCTCCCTGCTGCGTGGTGGATCAGCAGCATGCATAAAACTGCCCATTTCATTCCTGGGCAATCCTGAGGTGATAAGCCTGCCATCTGGGAGGCAGGCACACCCTTGGAAATGTCAGTTGTCCCTCCAACATACAGCTACCCCTGGGTTTGTAGAGTCACTGTCTGTTAATACAAGGATGTAACAAAGCAATTCAGTACTGCACCTTCACACAAAGACAAGTGACGCACACAGAAGACGAAGGTTGAATTCAGACATCCCTCAGTTTTTTAGGTCCACCTCCTGGTTCTGTGGCACAGACACATTTCTAGTTCTGGTATTTATATTGGCCCTTTTTAGTCATGTACAAATAATTATGTCAGTACTGTTCCTCAAAAATCTATATTTAAAAAAAAATCAGGAAGATACCAAATTAGAAAGTCAAATATGAAACCTGCTATCATCACGACCCAATGCACACAATATAGCTCTAAATTACTATTTTTTTTCCTGTATTCTCAAATAACCAACTTCCCAAAGTCCCTTTCTAGTGAAGTGGTATTTGTTTCTCTGACTC